GCTGAGAGCAGGGCCCCCCGAGCCAGGGCACAGCGGACGTCCTGTCCTGCTCCGCCAGCTGCGCAGGTGCCGGGGAGCCGGGGCTTCCACAAGGGCAGCCTCTGATCCCGGGAGGGTGTGTGCTCGGCCCGGGTCCCCACGGCACCAGGTGCAGAGGCCGGATGTGGGGCTGGGCTGCGGGGTGAACGGAAGCCGGCAGCTCACCTTGTGGGCCGGCTGGTGACAGCTTTGGGGCTGGTTTGTGACTTCCGTTTCCCCGTCTTTCAGGGGTGGGTCTGGATATGTCGGCAAAAGCCAAGCACACTCTAAAGCCATCTTCTGCTCTCTAGGCTTCTTTAAAATCCTCAGAGGACAGGATCACTGTGGAATCGAATCGGAAATTGTGGCTGGAATCCCATGCACTCGTCAGTACTAGAAGATGTAACCTCCTGTGGGCCTGTCCTCCGGCCCTGGGGCAGTTTTTCCCTAAATACCGCCATGCGGACTGGGGATGAGATTCGGGGGTAGGAATGTCTTTTATTCTTTGAGTTAGGATGAGATACCAGGCTTTTTAGCCAGGGCCTGAAACTGGGTCAGGCCAAGCCTCACGTCTGCCATCCGCACTATCTTCCAAGGAGACGCAGCCAAGGCCAGCCCAGCAGACGGGCTGCTGTCACGACACAAGCAAGTAAGCCTTAGGCAAGAAAGCCTCCACCGAAGCAGAGTGAGCCTCTCCCGTAGACCAGCTGTGTAGTGCCTGCTGCCCCCCGCCTCTGCGTCACCAGGGAGCAAGAGAGACCGGAAGGGTTTGTAGTTTCCCAAAGGAGTGGAAAGCAGAGCTCTCCTAGCTAGATGGATTCCCACCCACGCAGGTGGCTTTCTGGATCCGGAATAGGTTGAGAAGAGATAGATAGTGGGGCAGCCCTTTGGAGAAAGCCACGTTCTCCCAGGGCCCCTGCATCTGTCGAGGTCTGCAGCGCTGCTAACCCTCTCTGGTCTTGTCCTTGGCATGATTCTTAGGTTTTCTGTTGTGTGCTCCTCGGCTGATCAGGTGGATGAGAGTCTGCTGGTTGGAAAAGCTGTACTAGTTGTACAGATTGTCTCCCTCAAACTCGGTGGTTGAGATTTCTCTTACCTGCTGCCCTCTGATACCACAGTCTGGGGAGAAGCCGGCTTTTACTGTTTGAAATCACTGCTTCACCCTGTTAATATAACAAAGAAAGGAATGACTGCCAATAAAATGCCTCTCCTTCAATGTGAAGTCTGCGTTCTGGTGGCATCTCGAAGATTGTCTGTAGACGTGTAGCTGCTGTCTCTCCTCCCCCAGAAGGAATCGTGTTCCCATGGATCAGGGTGCCCTTGAACCTCTAACCCAGGGATATCTTGCCTGGGTTGAGTGGAACAAAATAAATACCTAATTTTTTAACTTCATTGCTGCAGCCATACTTTCAAACCACAGCACCTCCTGTCATTCTCATCGACCCTTTTCTATAAATCTACCCCTCACACTGCCCCAAGCCTCGATGAGCTCTGTGCCTGCTTAATTAAAGAGGTAAGAACTCTTACCTCTTTTTTTTTTTTTACCAACCGCACACCAGCAGTGACCTGAGGGTTCCTGCAGGCGTGATGTACTGGTGGTGTAACCAGTCCTGCTGGAAGACCAGCTTCCCGGGTCGGGGCAGAGCCCGTGTGCAGTGTTGTGAGCTCCTGTCTCTTGGGACGCTCGTTAAGAATTGCTGCTTTGCATCATCCCAATTACCCGTACACAACGGGAGGACCCCAGTTCTCGAGGGAACAGGAGACTGTTAGAATCTCCACCTCTGCCTGCACCCCGGCCTGTCAATACCCCAAGTCATTTCCCTTCCACAACTGGGAGTGGAACCAGCTCTTCCCAGAAGCACAGGAGGTTTAACTTCTGATGTGCCCCAGAAATCAGGATCAGAACTACCTCAGATACGCTCTTGAACGCACGGTGAACATCACTGCAGGAAAAACTGGTGAAACTCATAGTACTTGCAGAATGTTTAACAAGGGTTAAAGCTACAAATTCTTCACTGTAGTATCTGTACAATTTCAACTAGGATACATTCAGTAAGCTCAGTGACGTTCTAACATTTTCTACCCACTCCCAAACTGCGCTGAATAATTCTGTTTACTATCTCCCATTCGCACCCCTTACCCACCTGCACCTCCATCCTCACCCTGACGCCAGCAGATGCACTAAGTGAACTGAACTGGACCTCGGGGCATCTTCGTGCTTGGCCTAAGGAGTCTCTGTTAGAAAACAGAAAGCAATGTTTACGATTGGGATTGATGTCACTACTTAAGTAAACACACTACCCTACGACCACCGCCTCACTGCCTCAGTTCAGTAGGTGGGAAGTTTTTCTTGGGTGCCTCCAAACAAGATGCCAGTTGGAAGGGACAGTGCCTTTTCGTTCTTTACATGGAGGGGAGGGGCGTATTTTTGTTCAGATTTAGAAGCGTGAGCAGAGGTAGCCCAACCTTTCCCGTTCCTTTAACAGGCATCAGAAACTACTTTGGAGCCTCAGGAGTGGTCCATGGACCAACAGCATTGCCATCTCCAAGGTTCTTGCAAGAAATGCACAATTGGGGGCCAGACCTGAATCTGCATCTGTAGTTAAACAAGACTCCAGGGGACTCATGTTCACTATGGTTTGAGGAACACCTTAGAGCAGTGGTTCCCAAGCTGGTCTCCTGACCAGCAACATTTGTGTCACCAGGGAACTTGTTAAAAACATAGGGTTAGGGGCACCTCCCCAGATCCACTGAGAAATCATGGTCCTAGCAATCTGGAACCTTCGAGCAGTTCACTACAGTTTAAGAACCAGCCTTAGAGCTCTGTTTCCAAAACTAAGAATAACCTAGGGCTTCCATGGTGGTTAAGAATCCGCCTGCCAATGCAGGGGACACAGGTTCGAGCCCTGGTCCGGGAAGATCCCACATGCCGCAGAGCGGCTGGGCCCGTGTGCCACAACTACCGAGCCTGCGCTCTACAGCCCGTGCCCCGCAACGAGAAGCCACCACAATGAGAAGCCTACACACAGCAACGAAGACCCAATGCAGCCAAAAATTTAAAAAAAAAAAAAAAAAAAAGAAAAAGAATAACCTAGAACGCCTGTTAATTAACAAATGTCTAGCCACCCCTCCTCCTCCCCCTACACCCGCAGCGGCAGCGAAGGGGCTCAGTAGATAGAAGAGTGGGGCTTCCAGGTAGTTGTTTCCCAGGGCAGGGTGTGGGTATGTGTGCAGGTCTCAGCTAGGGCTCCAGAAAGTTCCCCAAATGGGGTTAGGCTCTGTTAAGTTTCTTGATTGAAAGCCCTGGATTCAGATGGGTCAGATATTCCTCTGAGGAAAACTTAAAATCTCCCACTGTATGAGTCACGTAGACTATGCCAGGGATGCTGTACATTTCATTACTTACCTTAAAAGTGTGGAGCAGATGGTGGGGTTGCCAGATTCAGCAAGTAAAAATACAGGATGCCAGGGCTTCCCTGGTGGCGCAGTGGTTGAGTCTGCCTGCCAAGGCAGGGGACACGGGTTCGTCCCCGGGTCCGGGAAGATCCCACATGCCGCGGAGCGGCTGGGCCCGTGAGCCATGGCCGCTGAGCCTGCGCGTCCGGAGCCTGTACTCTGCAACGGGAGAGGCCACAACAGTGAGAGGCCTGCATACCACAAAAAAAAAACAAAAAAAAAAACAGGATGCCAAATCAGATTTGAATTTCAGAAGTCATTTTTTAGTATAAATATATCCTGTGCAGTATTTGGGACATAATTATACTAAAAAACCATTTTATCGGCAATTCAAGTTTAACTGGGTATCCTGTATTATCTGGCAATTGCAGTAGAGAAAACACTTAGAAGGGAAATGTTCTTCCAAAGGAGTGGGCATGCGAGCTAAGACCTTTATAGCTTTACAGCTGGGAGGGACCTAAAAGATCATACAAACCACCAGAAGCTCAGAAAGCCGCACAGCTGAACCAGGAGAGAAGCTTCCAACGCATCCACCTCAGACCAAGGCTCTTATCGCCAGGTTGTCCCGTGTCCTACGTGAACTGCAGAAGAACTAATATATTTCAACACACAAAATCTTAACACCTACCTTGGAATCACAAACCAAGTTTTGATGCTTAAAATACTCACTGCTGAGTCTGGCTTAGAGCTGTGCTCTAAGTGGTAAGTGACTTTGGCTTCAATGTGGTGACTGGTTCATCCAGGACTGAGTCTCAAAAGAACCAAAAGTCCACGGTCAGGCGGCGGCAGCGGCCCACACAAGAATCAGTGTGGGTACGTGTGTCACAGTGCAAACCCAACGTTACTGCTGGAACATAGCTCCTTCAGTGACTAAGTCACACACAGAGAGATGCAGCAAAAGAGGACTGACTACACACTACACACTTAAGAGCACAGCTTCGGGAAAGTACTATAACTCCCCGCAACAGGGATTCTCGGCCCGAGGGGCTTTTTCAAACACCCCCTCTGAGCTGAGACTCTCAGGGAGTCACTGGCTGGGCACAGCCCAAACCTCGGTGATGCTGGGGGGAAGAGGGAGGTGGACCACCGTGCTGGGGGAACTGGGCTAAGTGCCACTTGGCTTTCAAGCCAATCACCCGAAAACATCTTCTGCCTTTCTTGAGAAACAGAAAAAAACCCCAAAGTCGAAAATACCCTCCAAATGCAATAAAATTTCTGAATGCAGCTAAGAGAATTAGCTAAAAGTAGAGCAGGCTGGCAGAGGTGATGCCCTTGCTCCCTTCCCGGCAGGCACAGCGCAGGGTGGGGAGGCCGGGTCCCTGCTTCCCAGTGGCAGCAGTGGCCACCGTCCCTCAACCAGTAACACCAGCCTGGAGTTCCGTACCTGCCACGCTCATCCAGGCTTCAAGTGAACTGCCCTTGACAAATGCCGAGTAATTCAGTTCTTTATTATAAAAATTTCAAAAACGTCAGCCTTAACTGGAAACCAACCTGCTACGATGGGACCAAAGGCAATCCTGAAACCTAAACTCCTTTTAAATGAGGAAATAATGCTAACCCCACCCAGAAGTTACTTCCTAGCCTTCACGTGCAGAAGACAGTCTGCATCCTTAGGAAACGGGAATATTCCTAGAACTCTAAACATTCGCATCTACTACATTCAAGTCCAGTGAAGAAAACAAAAGGATGAGAAAAAGAGGAACAGAACAGAAAGAAGATGCACTTCACTTTCTACTAGGATAGGTATTCAAAGGTTGCTTCAAATTAAATACATTTAATTCTAGCCCGTATTCACACCAAGTATGATCTCTCTGCAGGCCTGGATGCAGCCCTGACTGTGACCCACAGCAGTGGACGCTCAGCCCTCAGTCACCCCGCCCAGGTGGGCACAGGTGAACACAGGTGGCCAAGGCTGAAGTGTCCTTTCCCTTTAATCGTATCTTCACATGTCACAGTTTCTAAAGTTCCAGGCCCACAGAATTCTTTGAGGAATTAAAGCAGGAGGGAAAATAGGGGGGAAGCCCACATCCATCCCTGAAGAGAAGGTCAGTCCATTCCCCAGGGCGTTCAGTCTCCCGACCAAGCCCAGTCAGCGTTCTCCGGTCTGAACATAGTCCTCTGTGACCTGGGACAGGGTGCTCAGATACTGCCAGCTCAGGGCCGCCAGGAGCATGACAAACGACAGGTAAATGGGTGAGTAGTGGCTCCGAGAGATGAGCTGACAGTTGGGAAGATTCTGTGTCCTGATCGTGGAGATGATCTGCCTTGTTTTAGTAGAACATGGGTCGGAGTTGGGGATCCTGTGATAAATCTGTGGAAGAAAGAGAAGAAAACAGTAAGTCCTAGAAACTTAATAAACATCTGTGTTCACTTCTTACCACAACCTGAAACAGCTAGGCATTTTATGCCCATTTTACCAATGAGAAAAACTGAGGCTCAGAGAACACAAAAGTAATAACCCAAAGTCACTCCACTAATAAGGCAGGATGTCAGTGGGGCCTGTGTGATCCCACGGGCCATCCCGGAGCAGCAGCGTGGCCCCCGAGAGCCCCACCGTCGGAACCTCGCAGAGCCAGTGACATCCACGTTGCTTGCTGAGGCTACAGCAGAGCCACACGGAGGAGGAAACACACTGCACAGGCCAGGCATGGGCACTCAGGAGAACACGATGGACTGACTCTGAGGTGTGCGCAGCAGGCGAGAACAAAGCAGGGCCCCTGAGAGTCATCCTGGAGGCCTCCCCGTCCCTGCACACCCTCCCCTCCCAAAGCTCCAGAATCCCTGCTGACCCCAGGC